ACTCGAAGAGTTTAACGTGTTGAGAAATCTATTCACCATTGCAACGGAAATTCGTTCTTCTCATACTGGAAATTCTCGACTTATCTGACCTATGATCCTGCTGTGATAGCCTGACATGCTTGACCTACAAGTCGATGCCTCTCTTGGCCATAAGCTAGGCAGAATAACTTGGGATGTTGCGTACCAGTACGCTTGTGGATGCGAATGGGATAAAGATACACCGAGTGTTGCACATAGATAGCCCCCCCCCCTCCACAGCCTAAACTATAAGAGCTAGGAATAAAACTCGTACATCATGAGAAAGAGCATTCAATTTCGAATCTAAACATGTACTTATCATACTTGTTATGCACCCTGGCTCTGTCCGTGAGAGCTTCAATACGAACGGGGTAAAATGAAAAGAGGCGCTTAATGGGTTCGGTGTCATCTTCCACGACTTTCAACACCCTGGTGATGTCGCTTTGCAAGGCTTCCCGGGGAATCCATGATGCTTGCCCTCCGTGTGCATGAGCCTCGACTCGGTCTTTTGACAAGCATTTAACAAGGATTCCAAATATATTTTGAAAAGTCTTCCTAGCTTCTATAGTTTAGGCTGTAAAGGAGAGGGGGGCTATGTGCAACACCCAATATGGTTAGACGAAGTTCCACTTCCAATGATAGTTTTTTCGTGCCGAGTGTACAAACACACATGAAGGAAATTTTGCTGAATTAGGCCATGCCCCTAAAAACTACTATGAGATTGTTACATATGTGGAAACACCCCCGAAATATTTAGAATGTGACACGGGAGGTCCCAGATGCACACCTTGCAACAAAATCTCCCAGGGGTGTAGTGGTTCTTGCCCCCTCTATTCCTGTATACTCACCTGGGATGACATTGATTACTCTGGCATGGCGGAAAATCATAGTGATCTTAATACTTTCTTAATGTGAACATTTTACGATAAAAGTTTCGCAATTTTCGCTGAAAACTCAGCTGAAAATAAATTCATTGCGAAGAGATATATAGCTGAACTTGGATTTTACCCACATTGGTGTGCCTTGCCCCTCATGTGGGCCACCAGGCAAAACCATGAGATTCAGCTTTCACTTGAAATTTTGCTCACATGAATGGTTTCGTTCTTTGGTGAGAGACAATAGGGAGCGAGTCAAGCATTTCTTCCCTGGGTCGTCATCTTGTGGAACAGATGAGGATTCGGTTCCACCAAAAGCCCCGTCCAATTGTAGAATTCTTCCAGATAGAGGGTCTTCGATATCGTTCTCCCGTCCAGGGCACACCTATGCTACCACCATGAAAAATTTACATGATGCCATCGAGGAAAAACGCAGAGGAGTTGTCAAGGGGGGTCCTTCTCCGTGACAACGCGCCTGTCCACAAATCATGGAAAGTTCAGGCAGCATTGAGGGAGTGTGGCTTTCAGGAGCTCAACCATCCTCCCTAGAGCCCGGATCTGGATCCTAGTGACTATTTTCCTAGTGACTATTTTCCTAGTGATTATTTTCCTAGTGACTATTTTCTGTTCATACACTTGAAAAAAATTTTGCGGGAAAAAGATTTTCATGCAATGAAGAGCTGAAAGTTGCCGTTTCTGATTGGTTTGATGGACAAGAAGTTGACTTCTATTCCGAGGGAATGAAATCCTTGGAATCAAATTGGAATAAGTGTGTTGAGTTAAAAGGTGACTACATTGAAAAATAAAGTGNATAAGTGTGTTGAGTTAAAAGGTGACTACATTGAAAAATAAAGTGTTATTTTTCCCCTCGGATGTTTCTTTCTTATTCAGGTAAATAACTTATTAAGTGACCCTCGTACATGTTGCTTTGTAGTTCACAGAACACAAGTTTTTCGTCCAGCCCATGGCGTAGAAAGGTAAAGGGTAAAACCCCCAGATTTTGGCCACTTCAGCCCATCGCAAAGGTAGCAACAGCTCCTCTGGGCTTGAAGCAAACGGGACCACGATTCCTTAATTGTCAGTAATAGTGAAATGAGATGCAGACACACTGGTGAAATTAATTTCCCTTCATTACTGAAGTGAATGAAGAACATGAACTAATATACAATAATGTGACAAAAACCCTTTTCTTGGCCACTTCACGCCAGGTTTTGGCCAGTCCGGATCCAGTCATTGGGGCAATGTGTCTTCCCAAATTTGAATAATTGAAACAAGGCTGTCTAAACGAGAAAGAACACGCCTTAAAACGTGGGAACCGACCGTTTCTGTTGTTTTTGCCAGGAAAGTACAGCACTTCTTAAACCGTTGCCTACGTAAGACGCACCTTTATTCGTCATGAAAGTTTTATATTGTCTCCCCTCTCAGAAATTCAACTCTATCACGTCTGCATATCTGCAGCTGCTCTGAACTAGTGGGACGGGGACAGGCGTCTGCTTCCAAAATACCCCAACAGATCGTAAAACTTGAATGATAAGATATAAAAAGTGCGTAATAAAGCAAATATAAAAGTGCATGCATATCCGCTGTTTTCCGGTGCATTGAAAGCAAAACGGTGTGTAGTTAGACAATGTAATTGTCTAGAAACATTTTCCGCCAAATAACAGCGGCAGGACCATATCAAGTTTCCCAGCAGAAGCTTTTCGCATGTTTTCAAATATTATTGTTTACTTTCACAGTGACAACGAACTTCGTTTCCTAAGAGCAGCCTGTACGTTTAACCTTGAAACCGAAAGTTTCAGGCGAGTGTGTTGTGAATTTCGCATTGAATGCGTGAAAAGTGTGCGTGAAAGGTTCACTTTCACGGGAGGTCCCTCTAAGTATGATTCTCGGCTGATAACGTGTTGCGATAGTGTCCTGAGATACTGTTCTCCTGCCATCTTCATCGTTATTTACGGGTCTTCTTTCTCCAGTTTTGTCATGGCGCTTCTGTGATGACCGAAGTGGACCTCGCCCTCGCGCATTTGCAACTGTCGTATACCTCTGTGTCACCTGGTAATACGGAGGATAAGCGTGGAATCGAGGAAAATTGCATGCGGAGAAGATGTCGCATCCGAAATACAAGTTCAACTTTTAATCCTTATATTTTCCTCATGGACACACCTAGCACCTACGAGGGGGAAATAACTTTAATAAAATGTTTAATAATAATATTATTGACTGACTGACCTGAACGGGGAAAAGGGGCAAGATGATCCTCATCGTGATTTTCCCCTCGCTTGTGTCCGCGTGTTCATTTGAAGCCACGCGAGTCCTCCCTATGGACGCGAGGGAGATCATCTCCAGGGGCCCGTACACTAGTACTTCGCGTTCGCAGAGAGAATGTGGTCGCCACGTGAAGTAGAGATAGACTTGAACGATCACTAGGATGACCACGACTGATCGCAGGGACAGCCCACAGTTGGGAAACTTCCTTGTGGAGGCCATGGGTGCACACGCCGGGGACGAAGCTCAGGGGAGGGACTGGAAGGAATTATCAGCTGCGAGAATGGCAGAGCTGAGGCTCGCGCTTTATCATTCAACGTACACAAGATACTGTTCGTAGACGCAAGTCGTTGTACAGGCAACCCCACTCGTAGCAGCACGTCAAGGACGCCCCTGCATGCATGAATTCATTTAGGCACGGTGCATCTTAATGCTCTCCAATCGACAAACCGAGGGAAACGGTGTTTTTCCGCCACAATAATGATAATCCCTTTCCTTTTTAATTTTGCACAAATTAAAAAGAAAAGGGACTTGGATGCAAACTTGGCCCCCCCCCCCCCAAAAACATTCCATCACCAAATTATTGTCCAAAAGAATTGGTTTTACAACTTTTTCTTCACCCTGTGCGGCCAAGCATCATGGTATATATCCGGCCAATATCAGGATACTTGTTCCCCCCCCTCTCAACTGCTATCGCAACGAAGACATTACATCACTGACCCTATTTAGTCTTCTTGACAAGACAGCAACACTGAAAATAGCATTTTGGAACACATTCGGTGATCGCAATGTTCAAGTGGCTGATTCTTGCCATTCCTATTGTTCTCGTTAGTGTCGTCTCTCTTCTTCAAGCTGGAAACGCCACGCCTCGGATCAACACGCGTTATGAACCCTCAAGGACTGAGTCCCCGGTTTTAGCGTGAGTAGGTCCACCTTTTCCGCTTCCTGTCTTGCAGTCGCATCGAATAATGGCTTCAAAGAAAATAAATCGGCGACCCTACTTGGCTAGGTCTGAACTGCCAATAAAAGAAGTTCACGTGTTTCTGGAAAAGTTTGAAATGCTGACGGTCTCAGGAAGAGTTTGCTTCGATTTGTCCTCATTTTATACATCCATTCATTTCCGAATGTAAAACGGCCGAAAGCCAGTTGAGGTGAATATTTATTATCAGCATTTTTTATGATTGAGCAGATGCAAGGAAAAGTAATTGCAATTGATGCGCTGAATGACCATTTATTCTTAAAACTGGGAAGAGCTCGAGAAGTCGAAAATCCGTTTTCTTGCCAGCAGAATGAGCAACAGATTCATATTTGATTTATTGGTGCCAATCCGCGAAGGACCGTATGATGCGAAAATGGTCGCGTGAGCCCACTGTGATCTTGCGGTCACAGTGGGTTCCATTACCTTGGATGGTAATTAATTCATTTATTCTTTGCGAAATGGCAAACACGTATTTAAAGTACGCCCCCAATTAAATGCGTTACGCATGGGGACGAAAGTCCTGATTTTTATCAAGATATCATATATCAATTTTCTATTGATTAACGGCGGTGGACCAAACCGTACAGAAATTGGTTGGCATAGAATGATGAAGAAACAAATAAGACTTCACATTAATTTAAAAGTTGTGACGATTGGCACCCGGACTGAGCTGTTGTCAATTATTCGCCGAAAATGAAGACCATTCAATGAGAAATTCACAGGATCAAGTCCAAGTACCAAGCAAAAAATATCGCCGTCCCATTCACTGCATGAGGATTCGATTCTGCAGCAATACGGATTTCTAACCGAACCTTGGGCCGTCTTCCTTCGCTTTTCGGATTTTGACATGAGGAATTGCACACATTCGCCAGGTCCGCGATTTCAAGCCTTTTGCAACCCAAATAACGCCTTTTATTTTGTAACATATAAATGAGCCACTGATGTCGGGTTTATTCCTTTTTGATCTTCAATGACATGGACTTCTCAAAGCAGTGCCGTCGTGTTAGCAATGTTAACGGTCTTCAATCGGTCTTCAAATTTTAATTTAAAAGTTAAGAGTCCCATTGCAGTCATATTTTTCATGGTCAGCCACTGCGTATGGGCATCTTCACATCCTCAAACCATCAGCCGTATGGAGGAAAGAAAGAAAACGGCACTTATCAACAAATAACAGCACCAAGCTGTTAATATTAGGTTCACATGTTCACATGAGCGGAGATGTGAGACAGGTATCGCCGTACCTCGAAGGCATCGCGATTGACGCCCAGACAGAGCCGTTTTCCGCGAAATATTCTCCGAAAATAAAAATAATTCAATAAGAAATTCACAAGATCAAGTACAACCCTCAAACAAACAAAAAACCACGCTGGGTCTTTTCCCTTCGCTTTCCGATTCTGATATGAGGAGTAGGCAAAAATCGGCATATGGTCAATGATTCCTTTCCCTTTGAAACCCATTTGGCATATTTTCCTTTTCAACGAACAAATGAACCACCGAAGTGTGGCTCATATCCTTCTGATTCTTAAGCGACTGACTCCTCAATGCAGTGCTGTCATGTTAGCATAGATGGATTCGCTGCCGTTTTCTTCCACTAATGTATATCCAAGAGAAAGTAGGAAGTTCTTGAGAGGTTCAGGACCCTCGTCGTTCCAAAGGTGCTCCACCTGGATGACTTGGAAGTCGATGCGATGGAAGGGCAGAGTCTTGAGAACCTGCAGTTCCACGCCCTCCACGTCCAGGCTGAAGAAGTGGACGGTCTTGATGTCTATAGCGTCCAATAGCATGTGAAGAGGGTAGCACTTGACAAGCGCCGAGTAGATGGTCGCCCCTTTCTTTATCGCACCCTTCACTTTCTGTTTCTGGCTGATTCCGCCTCCCCAGGAAGCAATTGGATCGTTCGGGTCGTAGGGATACTCCATCACTGCCTGGATTGAAGGACCAAACCTTATAATCGATGGGTATCGGGTAAAAGAAACGGTAATTAGGAGAAGATTGGCATGTTAAGTTCACTGATGGTTGGAGCTCTAAGAGTTTAACGTGTTGAGAAATCTATTCACCATTGCAACGGAAATTCGTTCTTCTCATACTGGAAATTCTCGACTTATCTGACCTATGATCCTGCTGTGATAGCCTGACATGCTTGGCCTACAAGTCGATGCCTCTCTTGGCCATAAGCTAGGCGGAATAACTTGGGATGTTGCGTACCAGTACGCTTGTGGATGCGAATGGGATAAAGATACATGTACCGAGTGTTGCACATAGATACCCCCCCCCCCTCCACAGCCTAAACTATAAGAGCTAGGAATAAAACTCGTACATCATGAGAAAGAGCATTCAATTTCGAATCTAAACATGTACGTATCATAATTTTTATGCACCCTGGCTCTGTCCGTGAGAGCTTTAATACGAACGGGGCAAGATGAAAAGAGGCGCTTAATGGGTTCGGTGTCATCTTCCACGACCTTCAACACCCTGGTGATGTCGCTTTGCAAGGCTTCCCGGGGAATCCATGCTGATTGCCCTCCGTGTGCATCGACTCGGTCTTTCGGGATAACCCCATGTTCACCCCACATTCAGATCAGGACAGTTTCCTGGCCGTACTGCATTGGGAAAGAAAAGCAATTCCTGAGCGTTTCAGCAATTGCCGTCTGATCAAAGCTTTAAAAAGCAGGGCTTCATCAGGTTGAAGGTGAACGTTTAATCTTTTTCGCAACCCATGAACAGGTGACGAATTCAGCTCTGGCATCAACACTTAATAGCACAGGTGCGATCATTGAGTTTACGTTTTTCCCCATCATATGAGATCAGGAAAAACAAACAAAATTGGTCGGAATAGATTCAAAATTGAACAAGGATTCCAAATATATTTTGAAAAGTTATCCTAGCTTCTATAGTTTAGTCTGTAGAGTGGGGGGGGCTATGTCCAACACCCAGTACGATTAGACGAAGTTCCACTTCCAATAATGAGTTTTTTCGTGCCGAGTGTACAAACACATCAAGGAAATGTTGCTGAATTAGGCCATGCCCCTAAAAACTAATATGAGCTTGTTACATACGTGGAAACACCCCCGAAATATTTATAATGTGACACGGGAGGCCCCAAATGCACACCTTGCAACAAAATCTCCCAGGGGTGTAGTGGTTCTTGCCCCCTTTACGCTCTATTCCTGTATTCTCACCTCGGAGGACATTGAGTACTCTGGCATGGCGGAAAATCATAGTGATCTTAAGACTTTCTTAGTGTGAACATTTTACGATAAAAGTTTCGCAATTTTCGCTGAAAACCCGGCTGAAAATAAATTCATTACGAAGAGATATATAGCTGAACTTGGGTTTTACCCACATTGGTGTGCCTTGCCCCTCATGTGGGCCACCAGGCAGAACCATGAGATTCAGCTTTCACTTGAAGTTTGACTCACATGAATGGTTTCGTTCTTTGGTGAGAGACAATAGGGAGCGAGCCAAGCATTTCTTCCCTGGGTCGTCATCTTGTGGAACAGATGAAGATTCGGTTCCACCAAAAGCACCGTCCAATTGTAGAATTCTTCCAGATAGAGGGTCTTCGATATCGTTCTCCCGTCCAGGGCACCCGCTTCCACAAAGAATTTTTTGTATCGGTTCTGCATTGAAGACATACTTCTTGAAGAGGTTTCCAATGTAATTTCATTTTGGTAACTTAAAAAAGCATATTACGAAATATGGAAGGTTTCTTTTGCGAATTAAAAAAAAACTACGAGGCATTCATTTGCCATCATTACATTTCCCGGAGCGATGATGAGTGCATGGGGCCGACAGAACAGAGACTGACCAAGGCCTCCAAGGCCTACCAGACTATGGTAACCACTCCGCTGATTGGCCGATTTCCAGTTCTTCGCCTGTGAGGCCCAAACCCTGCGTATTTAGTTCATCTAGCTGTTTCCGCGCATTCTACCAACAACTTTGCGTACGAGGACCTCTTGCTCGTTTTTTCTCATGTCCACACGGAACGTGTCTATTTCCCCTTTGAGAGTCGTGGCAGCGTTTCTTCCGAAAGGCACAACCTTAAGGGTTGTGCTAAGCAACCGGTAATCTTCATCGGCTTCGTTTACTGGCGAGCGTTCTTACAAAAGAGGAGTTCTCTCAAGTTCTCATTTCGATTTGGAATAAATGACAAAGTTCGGATGCTGAATTAGTTTTTAAATATGGCCGAACTCTGTTGCCCTGGTGGTCAGTTTCTACGCCATCGTATGAATAAAGGCGTAGAAAAATAATTCGACAAAATCCCAGAACCGAAACGGGAATCGAACCCTGAGTGCGAATGTCATTCGTCGAAGCTCAATTTCACATATCATTCAACGTGGCGCCTCAGCACGTCAATGTGCCCATGAAGCAAAAAAAAATCCCCATTTTCTACATTGAGTTGTAGTTTGAAATCAGCATACTATGTGGAGCCCGTGTGAACGCATGTGGCGACGACGAATCGTCCGGTATTTCATCATGGGCGATTGAAATCCTTGGATTCCCGGCATCAGTCGGGAGTGAGCGATGCCATCGCTCCCTTTCGGTTACCATGGCAACTCTTCGTCCATCCCAAAGATGGCGAGACGAGAGTGAATCTCTGATTTTTCTCGAAAGTATCCTCCCCTCCCTTTCGTGGGACCGATTTGCAAATTTCATTTTCCAAAGGCACATTCTCGAATGTTAAGCAAGAGTTCTGTGGAAACCCCAAGTTCATATTTGTCGCTCAGCCTAGCTAGCGGTCAGGATTGCGCACGGTATATGCTTAACATTCGGTTTCATTAGTGTGATATGATAGTACGTGCCCTTGATATGTCCTTGAAACGGATTCACGCCCCCTTCTTCCGCACTCTTCCACCCCCATTTCAGTCCAGCAGGCGATATAAAAGGAATTTGATTTTGATTCGGGGTCATTATTCGCCACTTCGCATTGGCCTACAGAAATGTTCGCTTTCATCGCGACATTGCCGAGTCTGTGCTCTCTGGTTGGGGGATCGCTCATTTAAGAAACGGCTGGATGAAGTCGGAAATCTTCTAAGAGTATATCTCGTCCGTATTTCACCCCTACCATGTACCACAAAAGATCGACTTTCCCGTGATCCTCTTAGTAAATAGCCACACCCCTTACCCCCAAGTCGAGTGAGCTCTGTGTGAAGCTGAAGATAATTTTGGTGGCTCTCTACCCCCAACCCCAACCCCAACCCCAACCCCAACCAAGGAAGACTTCGCTGGAGTGCTCAAGTCACCATGGGAGGCATTACTGCATCCTGCAGGGAGAACGGCTTCCGCGCCCTTGGACTATTCCCATCTAGCACATCCTCTCTTTCCTTTCCCTCGGCAGTGAAACGCCCGCATCCCCTCCGTGCGCCTCGATAGAAGTACCAGAGGAAGTCGACGAGGAAGCGCTAGAGGAGCCTGCGCAGCTGCAGGATTACTTGGCTTGGCCTGGAGCTCAAAAAAGGAGAGGCGTCTGGAACACGGAAAGGTCTCCATGAGACCTTTCCAGTGGAAAACGGAGAGACTTTTTCCGGGGGAGGAAAAGGCAGAAGAAACGATTTTAAGAAGCAAACGAAGAAAGGAAGAAGGTCGGAGGGGAAATGAGAAAAAAGAGGAAAAGGGCCAACAATGATCATGGAAAGTAGAGAAAGCGCAAGGCAGAGAGTGGACTTTCAGCCATTATTGACCTCGCGGCTGCAAAAGTTGACGGAGTTAACGAAGGAATCGAACTTTCACCTTCAGAAACCACTGCAGCAGATGACAATTCCCGCAGGTGGAATTTCAATGAAGAGAGCGTGGGACTTCTCTTCAATGAACGTATTGAGGCCGAATTCCTCAGTTGCTCTCGTTTTCCTTTTTCTGTTAAGAGGTTTCTCATTAAAATTGCTTGTGGCCAATAACTGGATCCGAACTGGCCAAAACCCGGCGTGAAGTAGCACCCCATCGGTTTTTGAGCCGAAAGAGGGTTCGAATCCTCATAGGGGGGGAGACACCAAATCAAGACTCCGCCTAAACTCTCTCTTGGGACCAATTATCAAAAGGGTCCATAATGACACACTCTCTTTATACGAGGGCCACTCAATAAGTTATCTACCTGAATAAAAAAGGGATGAGCAACAGGCCTGTGCCTACTGTGACATGTCTCGACAGGTCTATTGAGTGGCCCACCACTATACCAGCTCAGTGGCTCTGATCAGGAAATGCATGACAAATTGGAGAGTGCGATACTGGAGGATCGTCGCACCAAAGTCTCTGTTTTAGCTCATGAACTGGGGATTTCAGAGGGCACAGTGATTCACATCATTCATAATTTTCCTAGTGACTATTTTCCTAGTGACTATTTTCCTAGTGACTATTTTCCTAGTGACTATTTTCCTAGTGACTATTTTCCTAGTGACTATTTTCCTAGTGACTATTTTCCTAGTGACTATTTTCCTAGTGACTATTTTCCTAGTGACTATTTTCCTAGTGACTATTTTCCTAGTGACTATTTTCCTAGTGACTATTTTCCTAGTGACTATTTTCCTAGTGACTATTTTCCTAGTGACTATTTTCTGTTCAGACACTTGAAAAAAATTTTGCGGGGAAGAAGATTCTGATGCAACGAAGAGCTGAAAGTTGCCGTTTCTGATTGGTTTCATGGACAAGAAGTTGACTTCTATTCCCAAGGAATAAAATCCTTGGAATCAAATTGGAATAAGTGTGTTGAGTTAAAAGGTGACTGAGGTGAAAAATAAAGTGTCATTTTTCCCCTCGGATGTTTCTTTCTTATTCAGGTAGATAACTTATTGAGTGACCCTCGTACATGTTGTTTTTGAGTTCACAGAACACAGGTTTTTCGTCCAGCCCATGGCGTAGGAAGGTAAAGGGTAAAAACCCCAGATTTTGGCCACTTCAGCCCATCGCAAAGGTAGCAACGGCTCCTCTGGGCTTGAGGCAAACGGGGCCACGATTCCTTAATTGTCAGTAATAGTGAAATGAGATGCAAAGACACTGGTGAAATTAATTTCCCTTCATTCCTGAAGTGAATGAAGAACATGAACTAATATACAATAATGCGACAAAAACCCATTTCTTGGCCACTTCACACCAAATTTTGGCCAGTTCGGATCCAGTTATTAGGGCAATGCGTCTTCCCAAATTTGAACTAGGTCTGATTGAAACAAGCCAGTCTAAACGAGAAAAGAACACACCTTAAAACGTGGGAACCGACCGTTTCTGTTGTTTTGCCAAGAAAGTACAGCACTTCTTAAACCGTTGCCTACGTAAGACGCACCTTTATTTTCGTCATGAAGGTTTTATATTCTCTACCCTATCAGAAATTCAACTCTATCACGTCTGCATATCTGCAGCTGCTCTGAACTAGTAGGACGGGGACAGGCGTCTGCTTCCAAAAATCCAACAGAAATCCAACAGATCGTAAAACCTGAATGATAAGATATAAAAAGTGCGTAATAAAGCAAAGATAAAAAAAATGCATTTCCGCTGTTTTCCGGTGCATTGAAAGCAAAACGGTGTAACAATGTGTAACGGTGTGACAATGTAATTGTCTAGAAACATTTTCCGCCAAATAACAGCGGCAGGACCACATTAAGTTTCACAGCAGAAGCTTTTCGCATGGTTTCAAATATTATTGTTTACTTTCACAGCGACAACGAACTTACTTTCCTAAGAGGTGCCTGTACGTTTAACCTCTAAACCGAAATTTTCAGGCGAGTGTGTTGTGAATTTCGCATTGAATGCGTGAAAAGTGTGCGTGAATGAAAAGTGTGCGTGAAAGGTTCGCCCTCACGGGAGGTCCCTCTAAGTATGATTCTCGGCTGATAACGCGTTGCGATACTGTCCTGAGATAATGTTCTCTTGTCATCTTCATCGTTATTTACGGGTCTTCTTTCTCCAGTTTTGTCACGGCGCTACTGTGATGACCGAAGTGGACCTCGCCCTCGCGCCTTTGCAACTGTCGTATACCTCTGTGTCACCTGGTAATACGGAGGATTAGCGTGGAATCGAGGAAAATTGCATGCGGAGAAGATGTCGTCTCCGAAATACAAGTTCAACTTTTAATCCTCATATTTTCCTCATGGACACACCTAGCACCCACGAAGGGGAAATATCTTTAATAAAATGTTTATTATATATATTGACTGACTGACCTGAACAGGGAAAAGGGGCAAGATGATCCTCATCGTTATTTTCCCCTCGCTTGTGTCCCCGTCTTCATCTGAAGCCACGCGAGTCCTCCCTATGGACGCGGGGGAGATCATCTCCAGGGGCCCGTACACTAGTACTTCGCGTTCGCAGACAGAATGTGGTCGCCACGTGAAGTAGAGAAAGACTTGAACGATCACTAGGATGGCCACGACTGATCGCAGGGACAGCCCACAGTTGGGAAACTTCCTTGTGGAGGCCATGGGTGCACACGCCTTGGAAAAAGCTCAGGGGAGAGACTGGAAGGAATTATCAGCTGCGAGAATGGCAGAGCTGAGGCTCGCGCGTTATCATTCAACGTACACAAGATACTGTTCATAGACTCAAGTCATTGTACAGGCAACGCCACTCGTAGCAGCACGTCAAGCACGTCCCTGCATGCATGAATTCATTTAGGCACGGTGCCTCTTCATGCTCTCAACGTTAAGGTGGTGCCATGCTCTCCAATCGGCAAACCGAGGGAAACTGTGTTTTTCCACTACAATAATGATGAGCGGACAAAATTAAAAAGGAAAGGGACTTGGATGCAAACTTGCCCCCCCCCCATAACATTCCATCGCCAAATTCTTGTCCAAAAGAATTGGTTTTACAACTTTTTCTTCACCCTGTGCGGCCAACCATCATGGCATATATCCGGCCAATATCCGGATACTTCTTTCCTCCCCCCTCAACTGCTATCGCAACGAAGACATTACATCACTGACCCTATGCAATCTTCTTGACAAGACGGAAACACTGAAAATAGCATTTTGGAACACATTCGGTGATCGCAATGTTCAAGTGGCTGATTCTTGTCATTCCTATTGTTCTCGTTAGCGTCGTCGTCTCCCTTCTTCAAGCTGGAATCGCCACGCCTCGGATTAACACGCGTTATGAACCCTCAAGGATTGAGTCCCCGGCTTTAGCGTGAGTAGGTCCACCCCTTCCGCTTTCTGTCTTGCAGATCGCATCGAATAATGGCTTAAAAGAAAATAAATCGGCGACCCTACTTGGCTAGGTCTGAACTGCCAATAAAAGAAGTTCACGTGTTTCTGGAAAAGTTTGAAATGCTGGAGGTCTCAGGGAGAGTTTTCTTCGATTTTTCCTCAATGTTAAACTTCCATTCATTTCCGAATGTAAAACGGCCGAAAGCCAGTTGAACTGAATATTTATTATCAGCATTTTTTTTAATGATTGAGGAGATGCAAGGAAAAGTAATTGCAATTGATGCGCTGAAGGACCATTTATTCTTAAAAGCTGGGAAGAGCTCGAGAAGTCGAAAATCCGTTTTCTTGCCAGCAGAATGAGCAACAGGTTAATATTTGGTTTATTGGTGCCAATCCGTGAAGGACCGTATGATGCGAAAATGGCCGCTTGAGCCCACTGTGATCTTGCGGTCACAGTGGGCTCCATTACCTTGGATGGTAATTAATTCATTTATTCTTTGCGAAATGGTAAACACGTATTTAAAGTACGTCCCCAATTAAATGCGTTACGCATGGGGACGAAAGTCTTGATTTTTATCAAGATATCATATATCAATTTTCTATTTATTAACGGCGGTGGACCAAACCGTACAGAAATTGGTTGGCATAGAATGAAGAAGAAAACAAATAAGACTTCGCATTAATTTAAAAGTTGTGACGATTGGCACCCGGACTGAGCCGTTGTCAAATATTCGCCGAAAATGAGAAATTCACGAGATAAAGTCCAAGTACCAAGCAAGTACCGTCCCATTATGAAGATTCGATTCTGCAGCAACACGGGATTTCTAACCGAACCTTGGGCCGTTTTCCTTCGCTTTTCGGATTTTGACACGAGGAATTGCAAACATTCGCCGTGATTTCAAGCCTTTTGCAACCCATATAACGCCTTTTATTTTGCAACATATAAATGAGCCACTGATATCTGGTTTATTCCTTTTTGATCTTCAATGACATGGAATTCTCAGAGCAGTGCCGTCGTGTTAGCAAAGATGGATTCGCTGCCTTCTTCTTTCACCAATTTATATCCGAGGGAAAGTAGAAAGTTACTGAGAGGTTCTTTGCCCTCGTCGTTCCAAAGGTGCTCAACCTGGATGACTTGAAAGTCGATGCGATGGAAGGGCAGAGTCTTGAGAACCTGCAGTTCCAGGCCCTCCACGTCCAGGCTGAAGAAGTGGACGGTCTTGATGTCTATAGCGTCCAATAGCATGTGAAGAGGGTAGCACTTGACAAGCGCCGAGTAGATGGTCGCCCCTTTTTTTATCGGACCCTTCACTTTCTGTTTCTGGCTGATTCCTCCTCCCCAGGAGGCAATTGGATCTTTCGGATCGTAGGGATACTCCATCACTGCCTGGATCGAAGGACCAAACCTTGTTATGTATGGGTACCGGGTAAAAGGAACTACGTAATTTGAGGAAATACGTGGTATGTGCATGTTAACTGCGCTTAGGATTGGCACGCGAAGAGTTCATTGAATTGAAAGGGTTTCACTGAGGTTTCACAAGTTTAGTTTTTATAATTGAAAGAGACGGTTAGTGACAGCTTCACTATTTTCGTCGTTTTATTTTACCTTTTAAAAGGTTTTCTGACCTTCGGACAGGGTTATCATGAAGTCGCCATCCTATTTTGATTTCCTATGACTTCTCAAGGAACAGTCGGATTCAGCTGATATTTGGCAATTTCGCCGTTTTATTTTACCTTTTAAAAGGTTTTCTGACCTTCGGACAGGGTTATCATGAAGTCGCCATCCTATTTTGATTTCCTATGACTTCTCAAGGAACAGTCGGATTCAGCTGATATTTGGCAGGGAGGTTCATGAGTCAAGGAGGTTTTTTTCCATGCAGCAAGATGGCGCTGCATGCCGAGAATGGGCGTTGATGCCGACCGCAGCGCCACCAATCTATTTGCTGTCATTTTTTAGCATTAGAAAAGAAAACATTTTGGGACATGAATCTCTCTGCCAAATATTAGCTTAGTGTTAGCTTATTATTAGTGTCCTTTTGAAAGATACGGTCAATGAAAGTTGGATGGTCACTTGAAACAATCGAATTTTGTTAGTTCATAACTTTGTAAGAAATGGTCAAATGCAGCGGATGTTTGACAGAGGTGTTCATGGGTCTATGGCTCATTCGTTTCCTTGCCCGACAGAAGGATGCCCATGTGGACAGGTGGCGCCGTGATGGCATAAGCCAAGGTAAGAGATGGAGAATAGGAATGGAGAAGGAATATATCTAGCATTTCCACCTCTCTCAGCAAAAGATGGTAAAACTCTCAGTGGAGCAACGTCTCACGTAATATGCTGTTACTATGTATTGCCAAAAAAATAGAAAAATCTATAAGCAGAGCCCTCGTGTTCCTTCACATTTTACCCTCGCATTTAGAGCCTATGTCAACTTGAACAAACATGCGCCGGGCAAGGAAACTAACAAGTCATAGACCCATGAACATGGCTGTTAAACATCAGCTGCATTTGCCTATTCCTTAAAAAATTATGACCAGGCAAATTGTTGCGATTGTTACAAGTCATCATTCAACTTTGTTTGACCATATCTTTTGAAAGAACTCTCGCATGCAGATGATATTTGGCAGAGATAAGCATGGGCCTAAACCTTTTATTTTTCTTCTCATGCTTAAAAAATGACATTGCAAGTAGATCGGTGGCGCTGCCGTCAACACCAGCGCCCTCTACCGGCATGCATCTTGATCTTGCGGCATGGAAAAGAAAAACCTTGACTCATGAACCACTCTACCAAATATCAGCTGAATCAGACTTTCCCTTGAAAAGTTATAGCTATTCAAAACAGGGCGGTGACTTCATGATAACCGAGTATATCTTGCCAATCTGTTACTTGAAAAGAATTTACCAGCAATCAAAAGAATCGCAGAAAATGATTTCACCCTTAATTAAAGTACAATATACAAAGATACAGCTTTCACTCGAGTTTGTGCTCACATGAATGATTCCCCTCTCCGGTGAGAGACAATAGGGAGCGAGCCAAGCATTTCTTCCCTGGGTCGTCATCTTGTGGAAGAGATGAGGATTCGGTTCCACCAAAAGCCCCGTCCAATTGTAGAATTCTTCCAGATGGAGGGTCTTCGATATCGTTCTCCCGTCCAGGGCACCCGCTTCCACGAAGAATTTGTTGCGTCGATTCTGCGTCGAAGGGAAAGACACTTCTTGAGGAGGTTTCCTCATTGTCCAAAATATTTCACAGAATGGTGATGAGTGCATGAGGAGTGACTGAAAACGATATCGTATGCAGGGTGTTTCTGAATACATGAAGTAATGTGAAAAACATTTTTTAGAGGCTTTCCCTCTCTTCAACCGCAACCTCAACCTCAACCTCAACCTCAACCTTCCTCCTTCCCCCATTAGCACATAACATTGAGTCAAGGTTGTTTCAACGTCGATTCAGCGTCCGAATGTTGAATCAGCATTGAATCAATGTTGTTTCAATTTTGTTTCAACCACTGTTTCATTCTCAGCTCATCTCATGAACGCAGCACGAAAATTTCCCATGCAATTGAGGACAGAAGACACCAAAACGAAGGCCGAAGCTGTCTTGAATTTGACATAATTCTGGCATGATATCCGGCCGCAATGGGGGACGGGACCGGGCCAGCACTCCAACCCGAAATGAACACCACATTTCAATTTTTTTTAATGGTGCATCGAAAACAACAGAAAGACTCGTTTCGTCCTCAACGAATCAATATAATTTTCATGGTTGGTCTCTTTCCTCCGAAAGCCTCAAGGTGGGGGGGGGGGGGAGAAAAAATGAAATGAAATTCATATCCTGAAAAAGCGAGGTTCAGTGTGTTCCACAACTCCGTGAAATGGAGTTTCAAATTTGCTGGAGCGGTTCTATGATGAGAGAGGAAAAAAACGGCCTAATTTCGCCTCTATTTGGCCTCTGCTAGCTTAGCCCAACGCGCGAGGCTTACAAGACCATGCTTTCTATGCCATTGGCTGGGCGGGAAACCTATTTTCGGTGTATTCAGGGTCAACGTGTTTAGAAAGAGTATTGTTCTCATGGCTGCTTTTGATGATTGAGAGAGAGTTTTGGCAAAGTCTTGATTTGGTGCCTCGCCCCGATGAGGATTTGAACCCCTTTCAGCTGAAAAATTGATGGGATATCACGCCTTCAGCCAAATGTGCGAAAGAAGTACCGCACCTGTACTGCACGCAACTTAAAGGAACTTCTTGGAAATAGTCCGGCTATCAAGGCAAGATTGTGAAAGTCATCAACGTTAGCCCAAAACTTTGGCATACACTCTTAGAAAATTGCGAGCTTTTGGGGTGTAAAAAGTGAGCACACCGTGAGCTTTTCGAATTTACTCTCTTATTACTCACCAGATGCTCCCTCATCGCTCGTATTGAAGTGAACACCTTGAAGTTCTTCATCAGGCCACTAGATGGAGGTAAGGGTCTCGCTTTTCGCACAGTACACAAAAGTTCCCTTCCCTCTTTCCCTGGAATCGTCCCGAGCAGGATTGTTTAGTACCTCGACATATGTCTCGCCTAGTCTCATTATAGGAATCAATAAACACGGACACTTTATCATTTATTATCCACATATTCAAGAAACATTCATGGAGTCAAGGCCATAAACAAGCTCATATTCCTATTGAGAACCCTTATGGAACACGTAAAATTTTATCCGCATAGGAGATCTAGAACACACAGAGAGTGTCCGTGAATATCATTCAGTCACACCTCAATTAAATGAGGTAATAAGGAACTGATATCTCGGATACTCTATGGAACCTATAAGAGGTCGTCCATCCTCTAACATGTGCTGTACTCAGTACAGGCAGAGGTAGGTCAAACCTTCGAGAACGAAACGACACACAGTATCTGAGAACTTTTATATTTGCATGACATCCCTATCAATTTCTAATGCGAGCGTTTTTACTCACGGAGGAGGAGAGCAATGTTATTCTTTGGTGATGGAGTAAATTCGCTCCTTTCCCAGAGTGAAAGGGGGGTGAAACTGGAGTTAGCTATTTTGCTCTCTTTTTTGGGAAAAATCGCTCCCCTTTTTCTAAGAGTGTACGATCATCGATCTGGAAATTCATAAAACATTCCGTTTTTTTTTTAATTTGACTTCTCATTAACATTGACTTATTGTAAGAGACACTCATAACATTGCCTCGGACGTATCAACGCTGCTTTTGGAATGTGCTTGAATGAATTCGTTTGTCTCTCACGATGGGTTTTGCATCATGGGGATATTGCTTCCTGTGGTACACGTGGAGTAAAAGTTTCTATTAGCACGGTGCAACCACAATATATATTTTCCTTATTCACGCGACGAACATTTTCTACGAGGCGATGGAATTTTTTTCCCTCATTCACGTCGAGGTGCCATTCCATCGACGCCATGACTGACCTCAATAGGGAAAAGGGGCACGATGATCCTCTTCGTGATTTCGCCCTCGCTCAGGTCGGCGTTCGCGTTTGGAGTCACGCGAGTCTCCTGCATGGACGCGGGGGGGAGCATCCCCAGCCTGTCCTCTGGTTCTTCGCATTCGCAGCCCGAGTATGACCTCCACGTTAAGTATAGAGAGACTTGAACGATCACTAGGATGGCCACGACTGATCGCAGGGACAGCCCACAGTAGGGAAACCTCCTTGTGGACGGCATGGGTGCACACGTCGGGGACGAAGCTCAGGGGAGAGACTGGAGGGAATTATCGAGGCGATAATCGCAGAGCAGAGGCACGGACGTGATCGCGCAATGTACTCAATACGCTGTACATAGACACAAATCATTCTCCAGGCAACGGCACCCATAGAAGCAAGTTAAACAAGCTCCTGCATGCATGCATGCAAGTAGGCACGGTGTCTCTTCAGCCCCTCTGCGTTAAAGTGGTGCCGTGCTGTGGAATCGTTCATCTGATGGAAACTGCATCTTCCCGTCACAAAAATGATGGGCATACGAAATTAAATAAGAAAATGACGCGAACGCGAACTCGAGTCCTCCATAACAGCCGATCGCCAAATTCTTGTCCGCAAGAATTGGTTTTAATGCAAATTTTCCTTCACCCTGTGCGGCCTTCTGACATGGCATTGTACCGCCAAATCCTTATTCTTCTTTCTCCTCCTCAACTACTATCGCAACGAAGGCAGTACATCACCGACCCTATGTAGTCATATTGATCGCATGCGATCCTTATGAAGAAAAAAATCTCAAGCCATTTGGCGAGTGGTTCGTTCGCGTTATTCCTCTTGTTCTTGTTCCCTCCCGTTACTAGCATCCAAGAACATAGCGCCCATGTTGGAGTGAGTAGTTAAAATAAATAAATATTCCAAAGTCGCCCAACCGGCTTCCAAGCATTCAATTCCTAGGAAAATAGGCTCTCTCTATCGCTCTGCCTGTATTGGTCACCCCCAGTCAGCCATTCATCCCCCGGCCAAGTGTGTTTATCTATGCAGTCAGCTGTTCCTAGCTTGACCCACGCTGACGAGCCACATACATGTACCCGTGCGTCACGGATGTAATATGCATAGGGCGGAACCTAATTGTCCGCGTTTCCTGTGACACCTGGACTAATTTATCGACGGTCCAAGAGTGGCTTTTATGAGCGGCAAGCCCGCGACTAGCAGAGCCATGATTTCGCATCTAATTGTGCAAGCATGGGTCGAACGAAGTGTATGAACGTGCCACTCGCACGTGCGGTTTTTCTGCGACATTCTAATCATAGTAGTAATTATAGTACGTTTCGGGGAAAGGTCCATCCCGTGATGTTCCATGATGGAGTATAGACGAATTTAATTGTTGGTTTCCTCATTCCGACATTAGGACGAAGAACCGGGTTAGTGAATCCGCGAACAAGTTGTTGAACTCCTGGATGAGATTACCTTGTTGGATTATTATGATTATTATGATTATTATGATTATTATGATTATTATGATTATTATGATTATTATGATTATTATGATTATTAGGATTATTATGAGGAAAATGAGCTTGTTTATAGCCTGGGTTTCATGAATCCGTCTCGAATATGGGGATTATACATGATGAAGTTCCCGCGCATATTGATTTCTATAATGAGATTAGGCGAGGCATATGGTGAGGGGCTCAGCACGCCTCTGACTGACGATTCCAAGGAAAGAGGGAATTTCGCAAAGTGCAACTTTCGTAAATTGGATCTTCGCTGTCATTTTTGAGATGTGTGTCACTCACGATCAAAGCGATACGCACGGCTCTCATCAAAGCTTCAAAGCATTTGCATACGCTTTCACAGTCGAATCCCACCAGCGCGTGAAACACCCAAGGCTAAGTGTGCCCTTTCCTGAGCCACACGCAGTCTAACCACCGGAGAGCCACCGGAGAGCCACCGGAGAGCCACGGGCTTCCGCAGATACACCGAATGCTGAGATTTTAACGGAAGAGTTTTCTTCGCTTTTTCCTCGTTTTCTACTTTCATTCATTGTCGAATCTAAAAATCATCGAAACCCAGTTGAACCGAATACTTTCGACATAAAAAAAATGCTAAAGCATATGCAAGGGAAGGGATGGCTGTCTTCTTTGTTTGAAATTTTAGAAGTAAACATTCACCATTTTGTTCCGAGAAACTCATTTCGGCATGAAAATCCATTAAGTGTCCATCCCAACCAAGAGGAATTCATGCTATTTTAGTATTATTCTGTGACGGCGCGTATTTAAATGTTTATGCGAGTCCCTTTCGCAACAAAATCAGCTTCATGACTTACGTTAATAGGACTTTTGTACTACTGCCAAGTGTTTCCTGTTAAACAGAAACTGGGAGCATTGCTAACATTGATTACGTAGAAAATTCCCTATACATAGTAAAATTGGAATCATGGCAATTTTATAGATTCAAAGAAAGAGAAAAAATTTTTAGTTGATGCATGGCTTTTGTCCGAGAAATGGAGTAAAACGGTACACAATTCTGAACAAATGAATCATGGCCTTCATGAATATTTTTAATGAATCATAACGAAGCATCCATCAAATTTTCATACATGCGAATCGCAAATTTACATTTCAGCTCATTATCTGAAAGATCCGAAGACGATCTGCCAGAACTCCATGCCTTTCGTGTGAGAATAGTTGCATGACCGGCCGAGGCGAGCGTACTTCCGGAGGAGCTGGGTGCGGAATCCCCGATTCCGGAAGGCGTTGATCCTCAGGTCCTCCCGCGTTTCCGGGCTGGTCGCCCAGTTCCCCTGCTTGAAGCCGTCGTGGACGATGAAGGCGTTGTCCAGGACGGCGAACGTGTAGCCCGCCACATGCAATTCACACACCTGAATTAAATAAAAGAAGAATTCATTCGTGTATGTGCTTTTGGCAATGCATTTTTTCTGGATTGTCAGGGTGACTCCTATGGAACTGTTCCCAGTTATCTAATCTCATTTGAAAACATAGTTTATGCCTTTCCCGAGCTGGTAAAGGGTTTTCGCTTAAGTGAATCTCGCAATATCAATGCAACTGAATGCAATTCCAGGGAATATGTCTTTGCTTCACAATAGGGAGCGTTCCATTATATCATTTATTTCATCGAGATAATGGGAAAAACATTAACAAAAGTCGCCCAAGAATATGCACGAGTTAGGGCCACTTTTCTGATGTAGCCCTCTCAGCCTAAAAATTCCGCGTTTTCGGCAAATGTGATATTGCATGACTCACATGACTATTGCGGTCCCATCCTTGTTGCCGGAACCGCTCATCAAAAAGGGGAGCCGAGTTCCTTGAAATTAAGAACGGTTCGTACATATAATCGTACTCCACCTCGTATCCCACCGATATCCCAGTTGATGGCGGGAGCGATTTCCACCGCTTGTAGTCCGTCCAGCCCTGCGAAGAAGCGTGAAAGAGCGATGGCGACCTCGTCTCATTGAAACAGTGATTAAAGTAATGGGAAAAAAAGATTTTACTCCAAAACGTAATTCATGAATGAGGAGAGGAAAAACAATGTAAAGTGAAATAATAAATCAGAAAAGCATGAAATAGAGATGAAATTATTAATTTATTGCTTAAATCGCCTAAATATATATATAGAGAGCAGAAACACCAACGGTAGACAGGTGCAGAATCAGCTCAAGGATACCCAATTTCTTTCTTTGAAGGTGGGAAGGAAGTTAATGGAAAAAATGAAGAAGTGGACGCCAATGGGGGGGGGGGGGGGGGGTCCATAAGCAGGAGGAAACATTCATGTTTCTTTCCAGTAACCGAGTTTGTTTTGCAAAGTTCTTTGCTAGAGCCGGATATTTTAATTATTTCATTATTTGCATATCGATATTGAAAGGTTAGGGCATGACAACAAAAATGTATTTATTCCCTGTTGGAAGAATTCCATTCATTCATTCAAACTATTCTGATTCCTCTATTATAATTGTGTCCTGCGGGAACTTCGACAGCTGGAAGAGTAGTTGGACGAAACAGTCCAGACGCATTGTTTCCACATTTTTTTTGGACCGAATGGCATTTAACGAAGATATGCAACGCTAGCGGAACTGCTTCCAGATTTCCAGATTAATTGCCATGTGTTTTTCCGATCGAAATAATTTTTTTGGGGGCGACCTTCTTTCGTGCAGTGGCATGCAACTATCAAGTGAGGAATGATTCAAGGTCTAAACAATAATATTCAAAGCTGCCAACAAATATCTTCGATGCATTCTGTGATTGAGTAATTAATAGTAATTGATGCACTTTACATACCTGAAGGTGCTGCACAATCCCCGAGTAGAATGGGCGAACGATGCCCTTGTTCCAAAGTTCGATCAAGTCAGATTTTGTTTGTGGCATGACCATTTTCGGTACGACCTCGAAGCTTGGCACGACGAACACCGTATTGTTATGACGGTTTCCATAGGTAGAGCAGTTTTCTTTCTTCGCAAAGGTCATGAAATCGAGCCTCATCCTTTGATTCGGAAGGAAGTCGGCATCAGTGACGAACACGAATTCCGTCCTGGCCGCGAGACGGCCCACGTTCCGGAGGAGATTGTGGGGGAACTCCACGTCCCGACGGATGTAGTTTCCCCCCTTGCCCTCCTGCAAGGCGAGCTGCCGAAGGATGTCCCGGCAGGAGGAATGGGTGACCTCGATCCCCAAGGAGAGTCCGACCTCGGGGGCCATCAGGCGAACGGGGAAGACGATGTGGAAGGTCGCGTGCTCCGACACGAGCGGATGCTGGTTCCGAATACATTGGATGACCCTTAAGGTAATGCCAATGTTGGCCGGCGTCGATATGAACACCACAAAAGAAATAGGACCCTGAATGAAATTGAAAGAGAAGGTGAATTAAATGAGGGAATATAAGGCCAGTAACTCCTTAACTTGTCCTAGCAATGTTGAGTATGGGGACTTCACGACACGGAAAAGGCGCAGATCCTGTCATGAGGTGAGCAGGAGAATTGTTTATCGTAGTGAATCACAAACATAGCTGTTAATTATGGACTTATTCTAGACCAAGAGCAAAATTTTCGCAAAGGATCTCTTGATCATCTTTATCTTCACATTTTTCAGTGAAAATACATGGCTTAGCGAGATATGCACGAGCACTGCATCAATATTCTCCGTCGAAAGTCACATTGCTTCCCAATACATCTCCTCAATTTAATTTTTTGTCAAGCATCGTCAATTGCAAAAGCATTTTGATCAAAATTGTCCCTCACATGGATCTCCTGGGATATGCGTCGAGCTTGGCAAGGATTTCTTATATAATATTTTATAAGAGTCGGTCAATCTATCATCTGAAATTCATAGGTGGAGGGTAATGTGAATGAGGA